ATGGGACGAAAAACCGAGGTCCCGTGCACACATTGGCGTGCACGTAAATGATCCCTTGACAGAAGGAAATCGATATAAGAGTAGGCCGTAGTGCCGCTGTAACGGGTCAAATTTCCCTCATAGCACACTGTATTGCGTATGCCGGTCTTCATTAGCCCAGTTCTGACCAGAACAGTAGGACGATAAACCCCATTTCATTTCATTTCATTTCTTCAGCCATATATCCATTTCAAAACCAGGGAAACAATCCACAAACACAAAAATCGAAAAGGGGATCCCGGTGCATTTCCCAAACATTATTGTACTATTCATGATCGGCAGTGTGTTGACAAGATATTTCAATGTTAATACACTGAAGAAAATTATTCAAATTGAAGGATTCATCACGAAATCTTACACAACCACGTTTTTTTGTTAGTTGTTTTATGTTGAGATGTAATCTGTATTTAAGTACTGAAGATGTGCGTTGGCCAAAATATAAATGTAAGCATAAATATAAGAAGAAACTACTAAAGATAACGTACAAGATGTAAGCGACAATCGTGTTAAACTTAGGCCACATCAATTTGATTTTCTGTTTTTCGGGGAAAAGTTTCCTACATTTTTCTTTGTTCAAAAAGTTTTAGTTGCAAGCTTTGAAATTTAAAACAACACATCTTTCTCGTGATTCAATTGACTATTTATTTAGGAAGATCCAATCTGATTAAAATACAGATCTAAATTTCGTTTCGTTTTTTATACTTTCGATGGCCTACACTAAGTGTTGTAAAGACAAGTAAAACGAAATTTTGAAATATAAAAAACGAAACGAAATAGGATCTGTGTTTTAATGAGATTGAGGAAGATCCCGAAGAACAGAAAATCAAATTGCTGTGGCCCTATATATAATCTATAAATAAGATGACTTGCTTTAGATAAACCACAAAACGTGATTATCAGCACAAACCTGGTGCCAACTGAACAGGTCATGACCAATACATAAATATAAATTATATACATAACATCATTTTCTACGGCATTCTACAAGAGGTTAATAGTTTGATGTGCCAACATCGCCATCTAAAACTGATCGACCATGTTGATATAATTTGGAACATGCCAATATAGTTGATCCTACACTAATTTAATTACTATGTCTTAATGCATTGAACGCCTTTTCATCACGATCTGTTGTGATCGTAACGGGTATGTGTTGCTTAGGTATTTCTTGAAATGTACACCTATTGTATAGGGTCAATGTGTTAGCAAAACGTTTTAATTGTACATAGTAACGTGTTGGCATAATTTCTTCGAATGGATAAAACTACAGATCGACTGTCATATCCCAGTTTATTTTTATCACCGGTACCAATAAAATAAAAAGTTACATATATTCCACCATGGACCTACTAAAAATGCCTTGCCTGAGCAAATGTATATTGCATCAACAAAGCTATTAATATCTGGTTTTCAGTTTTGCCTCAATTTTCTACATCCTTTATCATGAATTCAAGGGAACCGATTATAAGTCTTGTTATTCTTAGGGACGGACCATCGCTAAAGTTCAACACAAAGTCTTGCGTTCAAACCAATAACCCGTTTTGGTCTTACTCCACTCTAATCCTAAACATGTAAGCACCTGAATGAGCAGAAATATTGTCCCAGAGCTTCTGATTTTATAAACCTCCCGGTCAGTCTCCTCAGGCCGAACACCAAACATGACGTTGTCTCCACCAAAGACCACACGCTGCTCAAATTTCTGAACACGCCCCTGATTTTTACTCATTTCTTTGGAGACTCGACCTGCTTCTAATATGCTTATTATATTATTACTTTTATATTTAAGCGATGCTATGTAAATTCCTAGTTTCTATTCCGTCCCTTACATATCTAGAAGACGTTATTCAGATCTCCGACCCTGCTCTTTTATTATCTCTCTGAGTTTTTTGCTGAGAGATACAATGAAAGAGAGTTACTGCTGTTTTAACCATTGATCAACCCTTGATCACATAAGACATCTGAACAAACAAACTAGAACTGTTTCCTTTACAAAACATAAATAATTCATGAAAATGCTTTTAGCTGTAACAAATAATGCCATGGTAAACACTTCCTTGGTTGCTTTCTGAAAACTACACTTCACAAGGAACATTCAGAATGAAAAACGAAGACCAAGGAACGTGATATATCATCCATCGGAATTGACATTAATATACGGATAGAAATATGTGTGATAAAGGGTTTTATTCACGAATATTTAAACACAACTAATTCATTGACTTCATTCATAAAATCTGTCTAGCTGTTTAACTCTTAGCCAATGAAAATTCTGAATCTTTAAACTATTTCATATTAAATAAACATTAGGCTTCAAATGTTATATAAATTAATTAGACCTATATTTACATAAGACCATAATTAACTCTGTAGACCCCAGATGGTTGGGATACAGCCTGGATTTAAACAGTCGTCCATTTAATAATAAAAATCATTAAATGGCTGACCAAGCTAAAATTTACCGTTAATCACTGACGTCACTACCAGCGACTGCCAATGGAAGGACTGACAATCGAGTGCACCGTAGACATTGAGAATGTTACTTTATAATCGAGAATATGTGGGCGGAGTTATCGTCTGTCAATCAAACGATCAACAGTTCCCGGAGACGATGCGGAGACAGTTGATGCCTATTCCTAGTCCAAACTTCCAACAATGATAATGTCGTTCAGAATAAAGTAATTTTACTGAAATTTTCAATATGTTCTTTTTTTATCATCTATTTTTGAACGGTTATATCAAGAATGGTCAACTCATTATTAAAATCTTAACTAATGTATCTTTGAACTGATAAATGCTATGAGGCAATTATTTCTGTTGATTTTGTTCGTTATCCAGGACATACTCCAAATCGAATTTTTTGTCGAGAATTTATGAACATCTTCTCGGCGCGCGCCTTGCCTTCTAGGAAATCCTAGTTCCGACATTGTATTGATGATAGAGACAGAAAAGAACAGACAACTAAATGAAAGTAGAAATAGTATCGCGTACTTTATCTATAGTACTATATAGACCCATCGACATGTTTATAATCTTGCTTTCATCTCCCGTTTACTTGTATTCTGTATTACCGTTTTACGAATGTGTGGTAGAATTTGGCGAAATGTTTGTTTATTGGAATTCTTCTGTAGGCTACTTGTCCTATTTTGTTTACGGAATGCTCTCGAAAATATTCACAAAATTCTAACATTAAGTTAAAAGTATGGCAGCTAATCAATGTTTCGGTAAATCCATATAATTCTAACGGGTTGTGCTAATTCGCTATGGTTTGAATATAATAAACCGAACATTTTGGTACAATCATGAGTCATCGGAATACGCTAGAATCTGTAGTATGCTTGTGCATTTGAATGCGAAAAAACCCACAAAACAGATTTCCTATCCATTTCACATGATATGCCGGCGTATCACAAACTGCGATTAGTACAACAATAATTCGATTAACAAAAGAAATTTATAAAAAGTACAGCCCAGAGAATTATGTCACTTAATTAATTCTATTACGTTAATCAGTCTAAACATTTTAGATATCTGGTGGTTACCTGCCTTTTTTGTTAATATAGCATGTTCCTATAATGTCGATTTATTTATATATTTACAATCTGGGAAGTAAAAACGACCGTTTCATCAAACGCACATGTTATGATTGTTCCATTTTATTAATTGAAAAGAAAATCAATTCAATCAAAATTAGGCCACAGATTTGTATAATTACTGTACGCTATAATATGCTTTGAGGGGAATTTGCCAGGACAGCGGTGCTCCGGTCTACTCTTATATCGAATTCCAACATCTAATTATCGTTTACGTGTACGCCAATGTGAACACGGGGCCTCGGTCTTTTGTCCCATCTGAGCGAGTAGATTGTTAGAAAATTGTTAGCTGTGTGTACTTCTCTAAAATGGTGAGGTGGTACCAGATGTTTTAGTAAGCGTTCTCACCTTCCGCCTCTTGCACGACAATCATATCTGTTACGTGGATTTAACCGTGTTATAATGGTCAAGTGAAGAGCTAGAAACCTCAGGATATTTACAGACAGTTTTTCAAAACAATCTCCCACGCCTAAAGGGGGGGGGGGGTGGAGACCTTCCCCCCAAGTTCCAGGCCGCCCCCCAGTTGCTTGGGACTAGAAAAACGAGGTCTTAAGGCCTCATTGATACACAGAGGAGAAACCACTCGTATTCATCAAAATAAACAAAGAGTGGTATTAGCCATAGAAAACATACCCTGACTCCTGCCCGACCCCTATTACCATTATGTAACTTAAAATAAAGAACAGACCTGGTATTTTAATCTAAAAGCGGAGTTCTGATCATAAACTATGGGAATTTGTAAATGTTTGGCGTAGTCGTAAATCACAATTAAGGCGTGACGTCTGCTGATAAGATAATTTACAGTAAAACTAAGGTGGATATTATTATGTAGACCTGTAACTGGGATGTTTACAGGTACACCAGATTATATTTTGTGTTTGTTATATAACTCAGTAATCTGTTAATATCGCTAAACATGCTACACCTTCTGTTAGAACTCAACAACTAATTTTGTAAACACTCCCAACTTTATAACCTATTGTTGTTCCCCTCCACGTTACTATGGTGACGGAATTTCAAAGCTCGGTACAAAATATTTAATGTAATATTACCCTTTTCAAAAACTATCAAAATCAATTACGATATTCTAATAGAATAAATTATTATACTTCTCGTCTCCACTTGACGGAAATTTAAAGCTAGGTACAAAATATTTGAATAAGTATTACATTTAAAAAAAAAAGAAAAGAAGTCAAAATCAATTACGATATTTTAATAGAAGAACAAGCATCCCAAAGAGTATTTTATCAGTGCAATATCTAATTAAGTTTGGTCTCTCAGCAGGTAGAGTTACAACCTCTGGCTGGAATATGTTAGTAATTAAGCAAAGCACGGTACCTTCCATTTATTCTTAATAGTTACTATTTTTAGCTCAAGGTTGGCAGCCGAAAGTTCTGACAGTTTGAACAGACGACGGATTTAAGTCTTGGAGTGAGAAGGCTTTTCATTATTTTGTAGGAAGTTGTTTTCCAGAAGGTAGGTTCTGTTATTTTCGCTTTCTTTGGCCAGGTCTTAGTATTGCTTCTATCAAAACTTATTTCCTGTCTGTGTTGGATTTACATAAAATTCATTTAATTTTCAATTATTTTATTCAAATTTTGTTTTAGATATACATATCTTCTCTTACAGTTTTCTTCCAAAAGATATACAAAGAAACAAATAGTGACTTTAGCGAACAAATAAATTGTTTTAGTTATCTATCTGGTTTTAAAAAATAAAAAGGATTGCGCTTAATCCAACTGGTATTATTCCACGAATTATCTGTGTCTTAGGAATAATTCATTCGAATTATTAATTATGGTCAAATTCTAGGTAAAAAAAACCCCACTACATTCAGCGTTTTCGGGGCGTTCGAAACTTCTTCAGAATTGCATTTCAGATGAATACTTAAAACAGAATTATGATGGACAAATATAATAAGCGGCAAATGACTTTAGAGAACTTTAACTAGCAATTTCTGATTGTTCTGTTGGGGACACATTTATGTAATGCATATGTCTACCCCGGACATTTGATTAAAATTTAGATGATGTACGCATGTATATTTTCTTGATAATTTGAAGATTTAAGCCGTGCTTGGTTCCCCCCAAAAAGACTCCAGTAATTGTCATGGGAATCATAATATGAATTACATTTTAGTGCTTTATGGAGTAAAATATATTAAACCCCTCCTTCCTTCCTTAAAGACATTCCTGAAGTTCCCAAACGGGTTCAGAGAAAGTTCATTAAGTTTTGAGTGTTAATATTCTGAGTGTGAGTTACTAATTATAACTATAAATCTCACCAGCAGTTGTTGAAATATAGATAAATACCATACAGGTGCGCTTAATGGCTTTCTTATTTCAAAATGCCTCACATCAATTTGGCTTGTTTTCGCTTCGAATGATTCGTAAACAACTTCTGAATAAACACGTTTAATATTGAATTTATTCAATTCTATCCAACCATTTTACTATTTGTTTTATGTTAATATTTTCTGTCGGTCTTTGAATAAACACTCCAAACCTGTTTCGTTTCATAAGCCATTGACGTCATTTGCTATAGAGCACATGAGCATCAGAGACTTTTTTTTTTTATTTGAAAAAAAAAACCGACCTTGTTGTTTTCATCAGATCTGAAAATATCTGTTTTAGAAAAAAACATACCATATCACCCCCACGCTGTGGCAAAAAATGTTTTTGTTGTTTTGTATTTTTTTTATCCTGCTGGCGTGTATATATATAGTTTAAAGTAGATAAAGTGAAAGTGCCTTTATGTTTACGGTAGATAAATAAATTAAAAAAATAAAATATAATACGCCAAGTTAAACATAAACGTCTTCATTCTGATATTCATCAAAATAAGCTAGCTGTCTGCCCTTTAGAATGAATGAGTGGAATAAAGGGGGTTTAACGTCCTACTGTTCTGTTCCGACTGGGTTCTTAAATTGAGAAACAAACTTAGATAATGGACTGCACTTTCAACCTTTACCCTCAATCGTCATGACTCAACCCCCAAAAATATATGATGCAAGACACTCTGCTGCTTTGTAATAAATCAATGGTATGGCCAATCTGAAACTAGTGGGGTCCTAGGAGATATAAAGTACTAATTTGCGGAGCTTTGGGGTTAAAATAATTTTAGAGATGGGTATTTCTCACGGTTGTTAACATTATGGGAGATAAATGAAATGTGGTTTAAAATCCTACTTGTCTGAACCAACAGGGCTAATGAGGAAGGGTAAACGCCGTGCTGTGTGCTAAGAGGGGAATTTTTTGCCAGGACAGCAGCGCCACGGCCTACTTTTATTAGGAATTTCAACTTTCAAGGGTTGTTTTATGTGCATGTCAATTTGTACACAGGACTTTAGTTTTCCGTCTCATCCGAACGACTATACGTTGTCGTTTGCCAGGCCCTCCGTCTTACACCACTGACAAGTGGGAACTACGCGGGAAAATCCCCATGGACTTTCTCGGACAGCGCAGGGATCGAACATGGGAATTCTAGGTTAGCGAGCCAACGTCTTACTCACTGAACCTCCGCGACTCCCCTATGGGAGATAGACTTATTTCTTAATCTCTGACTAAGCTTCTGTTCATAATGAAGTTCATGTCTTCATGAAAAGATCCATAATTTCATCGAAATAGATTGGGGGATTCCTTATCGGACGTTATTATGAGATGTGGTGAGTTGTGGGTTCCGTCTTCCGTCAACGTAGCCCCATGGACACCGGAATAATTCTTCTATTTTCATTTATCGTAAAGAATAACAATTATTCCTAAGCGGGCAGAAAGTCTTTGGTGTTGTTTTTAAAAACTGAAGTTTCGATCTCGTCAATTTACTATGTTTATTTGTTTTGCAAGATGGACACCTTTCTACTAATTTTTACGCTTGTATATATCGATTTTGCTTTCAATAGTTAATGCTTTAACCGTCGACAGTTAAGACACTAAGCTAAAAGTGGTTAACAGATTGACTTCCGTTTACTCCTAATCAGATGACCCTTTTCGTGTAAATAAAGACGTTTATGTTCCTTTAAATGAAACAATGAGGGGTTTTTTGTTGACATAATGCCAACATTATCATTGTTACCATGTCAGCACTCACAATGAGCCCACTGTCAGTGACATGTAGGCTATGTATGTATCTATGTGTGTATGTATGTCGGGTTACTAAGAGCTAATATACACTGCTAAATGACTTATCTATATATGGCACCATCAAATCAGATATTTGATATGTTGTGTCGGCGGTAAGTTTATCGTACCAGAAGTCGATGGCTAATAACTGACGGTAACATGCTTGAGTAATGAAACAGCATACCTGACTAAAACTGTTATCACAGACACGTTCTAAGTAAAACTAACACATTGAACTCTTTAACCAGTTCATTGCCATATCCATTCAGGTTCTTCATAATTAACTGAATTGTTGCGTTCAGGAATTAAATAGTTCTATCTTATACCTTTTTTATTCTTTTCAATTTCATTTCAAGCATTGTGGTATCTGTACAGTTTTACTAAAGGTCTTGCAAGGAAATCAGGCTAGTCGTTCAGATGGAACGAAAAATCGAGGTACCATGTATTGCATTAGTTGCATATTAATGGCAGTGGGAAATCAAATGAAAAATCTGCTTTGTTAGATGACAAATTAAAAATATTTAATAAAAATTAATTAAGAACTTTTCAATCGTTTTTCGTTGTTTTGTCTTTTCTTATTGTTACCTACTTTGTCTAATTAATAATAATTAATAATATTTTGAAAAAATACAAATTTATTAAATTACATACATAAGTGCTTAGAACATCTATGGGACTCAATCGATGTATAGTATGTATGTTTGTTATTATCAGTATGTTTTAGTAGGTGTGTTTATTAGTATGGAAGGGCTATTCTGGTCAGTATGTTTTAGTAGGTTTGTTTATTAGTATGGTAGGGCTATTCTGGTCAGTATGTTTTAGTAGGTTTGTTTATTAGTATAGTAGAGGTGTTCTGGTCAGTATGTTTTGGTAGGTATGTTTATTAGTTTAATACATAAAGAGATTTGCACCTTTGTTTAATGACTAGATAATGTTCAGCAATATATAATGATAATATAAAGATACAACCATTAATCATGTATGGTCAATAGGGTCATCTATTTGTGGAACAGATAAACCATCTAAACTGTAGACCTTTTGATGTAAAGCGCGCGCGTTAGACCATTCGCCACCGAACCCCCTAAACATATATTTCCAGATTTCAAATTTTAGCTTAAAACATTTATTCCGGAAACACTCCTATCAAAATATTACTTTAAATTAATTCAGCGTCTCTACATAGTACACAGTTCTATGGATTACTTTTACTGTTTGGTACTGAGCGACGTTTCGGCTAGGATTATCTAGTCATTGCTTGGAAAAGATTCGAGAATCCTAATCGAAACCTCGCGACCTTATTGCTTGATAAAGACTGAATAGTCCTAGTTATCAAGTCGCGACACCATTGCTTGATAAGGACTAGAGAATCCTAGTCAAAAGGTTGCTAGACAGGTGCGTCATAAAGACTGTAGAATCCTAGTCCAAACGACGGTACGGCATTGATTGAGAAGTATTAGAGCCCTAATCGAAACGTCGATACATCATTGCGTGACACAGACAAGAGAATCTTAGTTGAAACGACCATTGCTTGAGAATGATAGTCGAAACGTCACTACACCAATGCTTGAAAAAGACTAAGGATTCCTAGTAGTAACAAAGCTAAGATATTAAGGTGTACGTGTTTTAATGAATGAATACATACATTAAGACTGAAAGAAAGAAATTAAAATAGAAATATTTATCGCCATCATATGAAATTTTAACTTAAACATCATAAACCAATAAATAACCAAGCCACCCACGGTTTCAGAATATCAAAATTCGATACTGTTTTTAATGCCCCTGAATAAATAATTAGACAGTATTTTTTATCTTCCAAAGTAACCGATAATGGTTTAAAGTGAGTTAATAAGAAAGCAGACTGTTATAAACAGATTTATATAAATTATAACATTGCCAAAAACGACAAAGGAATTTGTCTAATATTATGTTTAGGATAAATGTCTGGAATTCCAACAATGTTTTTATTCAAATAGTTACAGATGAATTATGTGTAAAAAAAAAAACTTCAGACAGAATTTGTATTTCAATCTTTAATCAGCCTGTGGTAACCGGTAGTAGATATATGTTAATGAAACTGTGTATAAAGTAAAATTGGCATCTGCCACCTCTTGTCTGTTTTTTATCATAAACATCACCTGGCCCCGGTTTCACAAAGCATTTATCAGGGTTTAGTTAAGAATTAACTCAACTTTCAATCACTGTTTATAAGAAATATCCAGAAACACAAAGATTAGCATATAGTTTCTTATGGATGATTGATGTATTTGATACATTAAAACGACAACAGTTTTATAAAAGGCTATATTTCAGTTTAAATAAGGCGAACAGTTTTGAGTAAATTCTTAATTTAAGTGA